GCACAATATATATAAGAGTAAATATACATTTAATTAACTGCTTCCACAAGGTTAAATGCACGAAAGGTTCGTTATATTTATTAAATAAAATCAAAATAAAACTGTCGTTAATGGCTTCAAAATACATTCTTTTATCATGTAAAAAAAGAACTTTCCAATTTTCTTTTCAAATAAAATCTTAGATTTTTAGCTTTTTAAGGAATACAAATTTTAATAGAAAAACCGGATATCTAACATTTACGCAATATTGACGCTGAAAAGAATCAGTGTGCCATAAAACTGATTCTTCCTTGAAAATATTCTTCAAGAGAATGCAGGATTCTCAATCCTATGAAGAAATATGGAACAAGCGCGAATGAGAAACTACGAGGAAGCGGATCTGGAAATCGCCGATATTTCAACCGATAGCGCCGGATCAAGATTTGCGATGGACACGAGCCAACCATCTCAGGATAGGTTGCACTAACTCGGATCACCTCCGTAGAAACATCATGAAAACTTCGTAAGAAAACTTTGTCGAAATTACGTAATAATCATGATCTTTATATTGTATCTTCAACCATCTCGAAAGATAACTGCAATCTTATCTTCCAAAAAATTACCTATGTAAAATTAACGCCAAGATACGCATGTTCGAAGAAATGCATGGTCTGAAAATTTTATTTCGTCTGTCTCTAATCGCGCGAGAAGAAGCGATATAACGGAGGTGGAAAAATAGAAAAAAAAAAAAAAACACCTTCAAGACATAGACCGATCGATACTTCTTCCAGTGCAACGCGAACCCGCCACCGAGAGGTATCGCGATTCGAATGCCTTCGTGTAAGAGAACATCGCGTTGAAATTCCGCGCGGCTGGATCGGCGCCGCACATTATGTAATAAAATGCACCGCGAAAAGCTCGTCGCTCATTCGCGAGTTGCATAATATATTCGCGATTACACGAGAAGCTTATTTCTTTTTTCCAGAAAATATCTCACGCGTAAGTAATCTAGCTTCCTTTCCTATCTTTTTTTAGCGTTCTCATTCGAGCGTTTTTTTTTTTCCGCGCGCGCGATTCAAGTATTTCGCTGTTTTCGTGCTCGAAAAATCGACGAACGTCGAGAAACAAGTGTATATCGGTGTCGCCGCGAATAAACATAGAGAAATCAAATTTCTCCGCGATTTTAATCCGAATGGCCTATTAATATTGGTTTGCGAAACGTTCTATTCGAGGGAAATCTGCGATCGCGATTTCCCGTCTCGCGGCGAGATCTTTATAAGCTGTAATCGGCGCGCAGCATATTTTCAAGCCAAGGTTAAAGTCGGTCTCGCCTGGCACTTAGTCTGAAGAATTTCTGTTATTTCCTACAACGATATATACCCGGCGCGTATATAACCCGGAAGGGTATCGATTCGGAGGAGAGGCGGTCCTTTTGAAACGCTCGATAGAGCGAGACCGTAATCCCGCAGCCGCGGAAACTACAACTTTACTCGTTCCGTGCGCCGTTACTTGTTTTATTCGAGAGCGTTTTACCGTGACACGTACGAGTTTTCCGTATGAGAAAAGGTAAAGGCGCGCGCACGGGGAACGCTAAAACGCGGAAAAGTGTTGGTAAACAACGGTAATAATGATGATGGTGCGCGACAAGAACGTGACCCGACTACCTCGTCCTGGAAAAGTACGCTCTTTCATTTTCCTCCGTATTTTTCTCCAGTGAATGAAAATTTTGCAATGAGAGGTAAATATTTTTTTGGTAAATTCCTAAATTTTCTTTTCAGATATCTTTCTCTTTTGTGAGCTAAAATTGACTATTTAAAGCAAAGACGTCTTGATCTTTATCGCTAAAACGATGTCATTAAAAAGTAGTAAATTTGTAATTAATTATATGTATAAATATTATTTATATTNNNCTCTCAATAATTCATTATAAAATTATAAATTATATATATAATTATAATCATAAATTATATAAACTCTTTACGCTAGCACTGATTTTTTTATTTTTAAATGTCTTGTTAAATATGCAAACAGCATATTTATGTACGATGCAAAAATAGAGAGATATTCTCGTTCGCGGATCACTTCCTTATTCGTCCAGCTGCGATGTGAACCTTGCGTCCTCAAGACCTGTTTACGTAAGTGTGAATAAGACGTGCCGCATTCTAACGATGATCTATTTACGTCCACTGCTCCCCGAGATCCCGGCCCGCGGCCGGTCCGTACGCGCCTAATTTTATATTCGGAGCAAAAACTCGGCCACCATTGCCAAGTGGAGCTCCGTCACAATCGATCTCTCACCCCGTGACCTTTCGTCGCATCTCAAAGAAGAGGAAAATATTTACGAGAATAAAAATCCCGTGCGCGCTCCAAGAATGGTACCATATAACGATACGAGACCACCCGAAATAAGGTGCCTCGTAAGGACGAGAGCTCGGGAAAATAATCGGCGGTTTAATCGGAGGGAGACCGGAGGACAGAACACGATTCTACGCGTTGTTTCGACTTAATCCTCTTTCCCGCCGTAATAGGATTACAACGGGGAGAGAAAGAGCGAGGTCGCGAATGAATTTCGCTGACCGCGTGGAAAGTTCTTACGCGCTTTCAAGGACAGTCTTTGCCGCGGCAAAAAGCTTCGGAATGGACCGAGTCGTTCGAAAAAATTCCTCCTCCCCCCCCCTTGCCGAGAGATAATCGCGCACTCGGGTCCACATTCCAGATTTATAACGACGAACGTGCCCACCCTCCCTCCCCCTCTCCCGTAAGTCGCGACGTCGGAATTATTGCGCGAGATAAGATTTACGGATCCTATAAAACTGGAGTATAGGATATATTATTGCCGTTGTCTTTGCTTTCCGCGCGCGCGCGCGCGCATGACATGAACGTGTTTTTGCCCGAGTAAAAACGAATTTAGAACGAACATTAATCGCCGACGAATGAGTAATACTCTGAAAATACGCTTCGGGTATAATTAAAATGCCCGGGTTTATCGACCACCGATTGTCGAACGTGTGTTCCTTCTTTACAGATACATCTCTCGATTATTGCACAGAGTTATTACAATTGCTGCACAACAATTTGCTCTCGAAACGCGAGCGTTAGATTCGTAAAAAAAGTAACGTCTTATAAGTTAGCGGAACAAAATGAGCAGAATCAATTCTAATTAATATTTTTATTTGTTGCTCAAAGTATCGCTACGATTTTTTAGCGATATTTCGAAGCAGGCGGATTCGATAATTTCGGTAATTCCAGAAAGATATACCGCGTTATTTCATGGATGTAGCTTTAATTAACTGTTCCCCGACGTAGGCTGTAATTATCGTACGTTTGCGAGCGGGGACAATTCTTTTCCCGTTCAATATTCCGATATTCTGATAATACGGTACGTCGAAGCGTAAAACTCGAGACGATCGATATACGTATATATGGAAAACGTTACCGTTTCGAAAGATGCTATCTTGAATAAAACCACGAGAGAAAGGTTATCTCTCGAGCGGAAAATAAAAGATTCCTGGCACCGTTATGAAATGCTTCGCGTCAAATTGGAAGGTGTTCCCGTTAAGAATATATATACATTTTTTTCTACATCTTCCCATGTTTCAAATCAATCTTTTCTTTCTCTCGGTTCGTGATATGTATTGTACGAATTAAAAATAAATATACATATATGACGACGTCAAGCCAAAATTGACGAAAAACAAGTCACGATCGCGTTGATATAGACGTTCCTTATCTCCTCGACAAGAAACGATAATGAGAGCTCGATTGTCGTTCGAGTCGCTCAATCTGTAGTCTTGAAATTCTTTTCGCAATGTAAAATTATCAACTTTAAAGCTCAGATTTTTAAATCTCGAGGTATCTTTCTCTCTCTCTCTCTCTCTATCGTCTATATAATTTTTGCGGCCCCGCAATCTTTTCTTATCACCATCCCGCGCCGCGATGACAACTCTTCGACGCTTACCGATTAAGAACGAGGTCAGTGAAAAGTGCGTACGGGCGTTCGAGAGATTAATCTTTTCGATTTCCATCGGCATTGACCCTGCTTGCTCGTCGATCCATCATCGTATACACGCGAGCCGAACGTTAAACGGCAGAATCGACCGTTGCCGAGGAAAAATAACGAGGGATCATCCCCGGATCTCTCATAAATCGATTTCACCGTTGGCGAATAATTACGTGACTCGAGGATCTAATGGCGGGGATTCGGCGCCGTTTATCTTCGTTATACAACAAACGAGTCGGAAAAAATCCCGACGGAGATGATTCCGACTTGGCGATGGAGAATCACGAGTGCGCGATCGATTGCTCGTCGCGGAAGTTATCGGCGAGCCGATAAAGGCCGGTTCAACGGTCGCTCATCGTTCGAGAATCGCGCCTCCGGCGCTTCCTGTCGCGGGTTGGCAACAATGAAAGTGCTCGATTACACGCTCGTTATATAATTAAGATTGTTACGTGTGCGCCGGCGGGAGCGAGCAAGAGCCGCGTCACCTTGCAGCTGGATGCTGCAAGTGGATGCGTATCATTAGATTTCGGTGTATCCCTGGTACGGTTTTTTGATTTATAGATACGGAATTTCGAGCGCGTTCAACGATAACAACAAGCAAGCAAAGATATGTAAATAAAGATATAAGATAAATGTATAATTTAAAATTATATATATATATAGATAAAGAGAAAAGAAGAAACAAATTAATTAAGATAATTGTTAAATTTATAGTCTACATTAGATGTTTAAATTCGACTTTTATCAGTTTCATTTCATAAGTATACATTAATTAATCCAAAATTAATTTATTTACAAAACAAGCGTCATATATCTAACTATTACTTATCTACGTATTTCGCTTATTCGAAATTAAACAGAATAAAACATAAAATAAAATAATTGATAAAAAGACAGAATAATTAAAAAAAAAAATAAAATAATTCGATTTCTCCTTTTTCACGAATTCGAAATTTCCATATTTGCCGTGATTTGAAAAACGAGTGAGAATCTCGCACCAGGTCTTTGTCTTCGTAAATTTCGAAATCGCACGTACAAGGTGAAAATTATTCTTCTTCGAGCGGAAAGTTTTTATCGCGACACTTTATGCGCGTGCACGCACGACGGTCATCGCGATAATGGTTTTATCGCGATCAACGTCACCCGCCCGGCGGCGTCCGATATTACGCAGTCGCGGCTTCGAATCGAGGCTGAATAGAACGCCGATAGAGCAAGCGAGCGTTCTAGAGGCGCTTAGGAGGATGTACAGGAGGAACGCATCACACACGGGCGATCCCAATTTCCTGATATCATTGATCGCTCTGTGCGACACGCGAGAGCCTTAAAAATTATAAACAACGACTATATATATCCCCAAGACTACAAAATATTGTCAGAATCTGCGTTCAAAATCAAGGCAAACGCGATGGCGGATTGAAATTTTCAAATTAGCCGTTGCATCTCCGCCAGAGACGCGGAGGGACGCTTTCCTCGCTGAAAGTGATTACGTAGCGGCTCTTGTAAGTAGCTCTTGTAAGTGCTGCTGCTGCTGCTGCCGCCGCTATTGCTGCTAATGACTTCCGTCTAAGTTTGAGAGAATGTGTGGCCGCACGCCGTGAGTATCTTGTTTCTCTCTCTTTTTCCAAGTTACAAGTAGGTACGTGAAAAGTAACGTAAGAACGAAAAAACGAAATATTCTTAAAAAAAAAAATATATTTTTTCTAAATTTTCGAATGAATATTGAAAATAATTGCTACGTCAAATACTTGAAGAGATCGAATAACAAACGAATACGAATTAAGACTCTTTCGCGTTAATTCGCTTGTATGTTGTCAATTTTTCAATTGTCCCCTATGTTTTTATCGTTCCAAATCGCGTGGTTTATACAAATATATTCTTCAGATATCCGCGATACGAGAACATCATTAATGAACCCGTATTGTTATACACGTAAACATGTGCGTATTCGGCAAGGTTCCTTTTTTTAGCTGACGTATCGATTACGGAGGTCATCGCCCGGATAATTGCTGTTTGAATAATTCGAGCGGACGGAATAGTCGCAATTCGAACAAAACTGCGTCATTACCGTTTTTTTATTGTGCGCGATTTCAACTGAAACGCGATAGGAATATACCCTCGAGCCTTTAGCAACGATATCGATCACGCCGAGAAAGAGAAAACGAAAGAGAGAGAGAGAGAGAGAGAGAGAGAGAGAGACAAAGAGAAGAAAAGAGAAATATAATTATTACAATATCCCAGTAAATATAGTTTGACATAACGTTTTGACAGCGATATTTCTGTTGATAAGGAAAGAGCGAAAATTTGTATACGAAAATATCTATTCTATTATTGGCATTAACAGTGATTTGCGATGATAAAAATTAAGCGCCATGTAGTTTTTATTAATATTTACTCGCAATTATATCACAAACAATTATACAATTAAATGACAACTACACGTGTTTCCGAGGTTCGACAGTTAATTCCAAAGATCCAAAAGATTGTATCGCATACTTATGACGTATTACCCTCACTTGCGTTGAACAAACTGTTCAAACATCGTCGTCGTGAAACGAAATACGGTCAGATTCGTTATCAGCGTAGATATTTGTGCGCCTCGTGACTCGTGACACGCGTGACGAACGCATGAGTTGGCGGCGGTCTTTACGACGTTTCAGCGCGAAGAAAAAAAGTGATAACGCTGCAACGCACGAAATTTCAGTTCTTGGCGCTTGACGACACTCCGAAGAAATTCAACGAGATAGTCTAAAATTAAAATTCCGTAACATCCGATTTATAGCGATTTATATCGTACTTGAAATAGCAACGTCGTATTCGTCTAATTTCTTTTAACCAATTTTAAATCGTCGTGTATCGTTGCATGTGAACAACGAGTGTTTCGTTCTCGTTCGATATACATATATAACATCACCCGTATAGCACGCGCCAACGTGCAAGCCGATAATGCTTATGCACGACTTGGTCCGACCGCTTTGAACTTGGCGGATCTCGCAAATCGTACGGAAAACGGGGTAGTAGGTCGAGCATTGATATCGCTCGCGTTACTGCCGAGAAAATCCGTTTGGCATTTCTTCCAGAGCGGCAAGATCTCTATTCTCCGAGATCAGCTGATCGATAACCGGATAAAGAAAAAAACGCCCTCGGCCATTCGATAATAATATCAAAGAGGGAAACGCGACGACGCGTGTAAAATCCACCGTGATTTCGGTGAACTCGGGACGAGCGTGCGCGAGAGATAAATGAAAATCTCCATCCACCGAGAACTTAAACCAGCGTAAGTGCGAAGATAAGCTCGGATAAGATTGGGAAGGAGGAAAGGGTAACACGTTCTCGAGACGAGGGGTTAAAATTACGTTTAACCACAGGGCAACTGCGAGAGGAGATTCGTTTGGCAAACCCGTCATTTTCTCGAGGACCCTTAACGAGAGCTCTCTTCTCTCCAACTTCGGGACTCCGCGTTTTTTCATCCGTCCCGCAGATGGAGGGAAAAAATTCAGGTCTCTCCAAAAGGCCCGTCAAGAAATCACGTGCTGCGAAAAACAAGAACTTTTGTATACGTAACGGAATGCGCTGCATCGCGATACGTTATCTACGAATGCTGCATGCATTATCGCGTTATCTGTCGCGTTTGGTGCGACAGCTTCGAATACAGGCGCGAAATATTTCGTCAGCTCGATTTCCCTCAAGATTTCTTATAAATCGCATTTTAATCGCTCCGTAATTATTGACATTATAAATTCTACATAATTAACGTAAATTACCGTAATCAGTTACATGAAATCTAATGACTCTCTTGGAAATCTCAGAATTATTCTCTTCTATTTTGCTTCTTTAAATACCTTGTATCAAAGACACCAAAAAATTTTGTAGAGAATTTTGCAAAAATTTCGTAATAAAATTATTGGTCAAGGATAGGACAGGTCAAGTATTGTCTGAACCATTGGAGAAGTTAATTTAGATGATTTTTATCGGCGAAACGAGCGGCTTATATAAAAATGCGGCAAATATCTCTGCATTCTCTTCTACTAAATTCTACAAATCAATAAACCTGCGTCATGACCCGCTGGATCTTAATGCAACGGGGCCGTAATAATAATGGGCGAATAAAACGTTGTGCACGACTGAAAACACTCTCGCGCAAGTTTTCCGCAATTTTCATAATTCGCTTTGGCGGCCGTCCAATCGCCTTGTTTCCTCCAGCGTTCTGCCTCGATGAAGATATAATTTAGTTCCACGAATGAAAATACATTTTTTTCACGATGCAATAATAATTAATATCTACATTATAAATCGCACAATAAATCCTTTGACTCTTAATACGAATTTCGATGCGCGAATTTATCATTCTGTATTGTGACACAATGATGTAAAGTGTATATATAATCATTTAATTAAAATGTGTACTACACAAATATATATAATATAATTAAATTTAAATATGTTAATAATAATAATTATTATATTATATATTATTGTATTATACATATAATGTCATTATATTTTAAATTATATATATTCTTTTTTTTAGTGTTATATATAACAAACAAACATATTTATTATACACGAAAATGCAAAAATATTGAGTCCGATTATAGTGTGATGTCACGACGACAACATAAATTTAATTACAAAAATAATTTAACTTCTCAGATAGTCCATACAAAAGGTCCATATAAAGTTGGATCTACAAGATTGATAGAAGCTTAGTATTTTTTGGCGTTCAAAAATAATCCTGCGATAGTCGATAAATATAAATTCAATTCTAAGCGAACACACTGATATCCGGAAATACAACGTATGATAAAATTCAACGCGGATAAAATTGTCGACTCGGTTAGACGCGTAGATCATCGAACGATCATCGAACGATCATCAAACGACGCAAAAGATACATCGTCGTGCGATTCGAAAAAGGCAGAATGCGGCGATAACCCCTTTACACACCGATATATACAACGAGAACTCGGAAAAGCGGATTGCGCTCTCGAATAGAGGAAGATTAACGATCCTCTATTGAGAGAACGCGCGAGTCCGTGTTCCGCTCTCGTTCGACAATGTTATTCTTAGGCGAAGCAGCTGCGAAATTAATGAAGGCGACCGCGAGAGCGAGAAAGAGAGATACGCGAAGCGTGAAATAATCTCGCTCGCGCGCGCGTCACACAAAGGGATATTTCGCGCTTCTCACGCGGAAACGTCGTCTAGCGAGTAGCGGTTTTGCGAGTGATGGATGAGAGCGTTCTCCGCACCGCGCACTCGAGACGAAAAAGTCGCGAGGAGAGAAAGACAGAGATGGTGGTATATCGTCGGAGATGCTTGACTTTCACGATGAGTTAGAGAATTGATACTTGCGGCGAAGCTGCGCCCGAGAAATTGAGATGAACGCGAGTCGCGACGATACTTTTAGGTTTTCTCTTGGATAAAGAATCGTATTAACTAAATTGACGTATTTTTTTGAACTACTGGATGCAGCTTATCTTTCTGGTACATTATATCCGACGCAATTATATGAATCAACGATAATTTATTTATTTATTTAGCAGAATATAAGGGAAAATTTATAACATCAATTAGAGGAGAAAAACATTAGATTAACGACAGAAAAAATAAAATATAAAATACAATAATATAAAACACAATTAAAAATTAGAATTAAAATTAAAATATAATGTTAACCAACATATGTAAATGCTATTGGACTGGACACTTTCAACATAAAAAAATAAGTGGGTCAAAAATCGCGATGATCATCCAATAATACCTCGAGTATTCTCGATAATTCATACAATTAAGTAAAAGCTGCCCGCCGAGAATTGTTTTCGTATACTTTGGCCGATCGATTCGGCTGCGGCATCCGCGAGTAGTCCGCATATCACGTGATTGCCACCGATCCCGGGGTATTTGTCTATCTACTACAGGAGCGACGGTATTTGCGCGCTGAGATTTTCCAATTAAAGCGTGATTAATTCCGTGACGGCCAGTCGGAACGTGCGCGGCCGGTTGTTTACTGCGGAAGCGAAAGGAGCGGAGAAAGCGGAAGGGAGAAAAAGAGAGAGAAAACAAGAGAGAGAGAGAAAACAAGATCGATGAACAACCGGGCAGACGCCGGTTGAAATCGATGTTAATCCGATCTCGATAGTCGAGAGAGACCGGTAGTTTGTTTGCCCTTCCGAGAAAGCGTCACACGCGTCGCGAAAATAACGCGTGTGCATCGATCCAGTCGAACGCGGCTCGCTCGATTAGTACACCCGCGTTATCCCGTTAACGGGGGGGATCCTAGCGGAGAAGTCCTTGACGCCGAACGGAATTTACGGTATATTGAGCCTTTTTTCCGGGCGAGAGGAGAGCGCGACCGCAGTGGGGATGAATGGACGCTGTTGCAAGCGCGGCAATTGCTGGACGTATACCAGCTGTGCAAATAAATTTGCAAAGTCGTTTAAAAATACGCGCGCGAGCACGTCAGTGTCCTCGGTGAATCGAAGAGAGAGAAAACAAGATCGATGAACAACCGGGCAGACGCCGGTTGAAATCGATGTTAATCCGATCTCGATAGTCGAGAGAGACCGGTAGTTTGTTTGCCCTTCCGAGAAAGCGTCACACGCGTCGCGAAAATAACGCGTGTGCATCGATCCAGTCGAACGCGGCTCGCTCGATTAGAACACCCGCGTTATCCCGTTAACGGGGGGGATCCTAGCGGAGAAGTCCTTGACGCCGAACGGAATTTACGGTATATTGAGCCTTTTTTCCGGGCGAGAGGAGAGCGCGACCGCAGTGGGGATGAATGGACGCTGTTGCAAGCGCGGCAATTGCTGGACGTATACCAGCTGTGCAAATAAATTTGCAAAGTCGTTTAAAAATACGCGCGCGAGCACGTCAGTGTCCTCGGTGAATCGCTTGTTTAGAAATTTCGAGCTTTACATTAGCACGAGATACCGCAAAATACTGCCTCTCGCTTTATCTTCGTTAAATGTATCATTCTCCCGATTACACACATGCAACAAAATAAAAATCATTTATTATCGTCAGCATTATTTATTCAACACATTGCGCGATTATAGCCGGCTTTAGACGATTCACGAATCGTGACAAGATTCAAGACAGAATATTTATAATTTATAATATTTATAAGATTTATAATCTTATATGTGTGTGTGCCTGTATTTCACTTTTTCAAATGTTTTTATTTCGCACATAAAATTATAAACAGTTTTCTGTTCCGAATTATAGATGCGGGCTTTAAGTGAGGGAGACTATGTGACATTCAAGCATCACAAAATGCATAATAAAAAACAAATATAAAAAAATAAGCATAAACTAAGATACATAAATAAATTTGTAATATATAATTCGCGCAGATAAACGCTTAAAGAGCGTTCTAAATTTCTCAAAAAAAAAGAAGTTAAAATATCTGACAGTCGGATTTACAAAAGTAAAAGTTTATCCCGAATTTTTGTGATCATACAAATGTAGCGTTCGTATAATCAATTTAACATATTTCATAAACATAAACATTTGCGTATGAAATCAGTTTTAAATTCTGTCACTAATTATAAAGCCATCTTTAAGAGCATGTAATACGACGAGCGTTGGACAAATAACGCTGATAATAATAATAAAAATATTATTATTGTTATCGTTATTATTCTGTTGAAATTTGATGCATGACTCACTTAACGAGGACGCAAGCAGTATTTTACTTGAACGGAATATTGTTGCAAATAATCAATTACATCGGAGTTGTGTGCGCAATTTTCTCCAAAGTAAACGATGCAATTGGCCGATTCTAAACCGGTGCACGATCGCCGCGTGCGTGCCGAGGATACACGTGTACCGGGGGGATAAGCACACTCTATTACAGCGCACTAAAAACCGGCTCTCTCGCGCGCGACCTTTAACGTAACTCGCCGTAATGATCGCGTTTCTGTGAGTGAAACACACGCAGAAGCTTGTGCGATGAGTCACACCATCAGTTAGCTCCAGATTGTTGTCCTCGCAAAAAAAAAAAAGACGGGAGCCTTGAAAGGAATTAATCTTGTCGCGAGCGAGTAATGGAATGGAATCGATGAGCATGTGCGTTTGCCTCGTCTCATAATCCACGAGAAAGAAAGCGAAATAAAATGGATAAAAAAAAAAAGAAAGGGATTTATCTATGTTCCCCTCTCGTAAACCACTTACTCGATATATCCTAAAATATTCATATTTGCGTAAAAAAATTCCGATATAGATGCGCGAGGCGGATACAATTGAAATTCCGTTGCACTCAGCGTTTCGCTGATGGTCGATATTTGTTTCGAGAGGGTGTAACGTACGCACAATGCTAGGAAGCAACTCGACGGACAAATAATGATCGACGATTTATTTAACGTTCGAAGAAACTGTATAGATTGAATCGCGAAGATATCAAAAAACGTGATTCGACGAATCACGTTTGATTATCACCACGATTATCATCAGCGTACACAAAGTATTTCTGAAATAGGTCGACAAACTTTAAATATTTATTTCACGCATTGCGTTCGAATTTTTGCGAGTCGAAAAAAATCTTATCCAGCAGTTTCTTTAACGAAGCGTGTTTTTACACAAGCGTTTCCGACTCCATATAATTCCTTTTTGTCTACCTATTTCATAAACATCTCGCTCGGATACAATGATAGGGATGTTTATGAAATATATATAAACGACTAAGAAAACCGTAGGATAAAAATGAGACGCACTTTACGACTTGGAGCTGAAATGCGTCGACTTTCTCCGCGCCTCTCGTCGCATATCGTGTACCTTTCGCGAAGCTGCTGTGGGTATCAAGGCCGTGACTATCGTCACCTGTTTATGCGCTACATAATTGCGGCCACGGAACGAAGTAAAATCAAAAAGCGACGAGTATATTACGTCGTAGATACATTTACACGTTGTCGTGTTATTCGTGGCGCGGAGCGAAACTCGAGCACATGATCGTCACGTAACAACACGCGACCGCGTGCGTTACAACGTCACACGGCGTGTCGCAAGCATGACAACCGCCACGACATTCGTTTCACCGCGAGCGATTATTCGCGAACGCGCTTCATTAATTAATTAACTCGAGACCAAGCTTACACGTGAATCTCTAATATTTCCGTCCAATGACTTTTAAGGACTTCGTACGAACCTGTTCGCTCTCTTCGTGATTACTTCAATTAACAGCTCTATTTTAATAACTGTATGTCGTTATAGTTTTGGCATAAATTTCGAGACATTACAAGGTTTATGTTAAATCGAAGCGTTTGCAACGCGAGAAGATATTCTTTAGGAAGGAGGAGGAAGGATATCACTCGCGGTCAATTTTCCGCGCAATCCATCCGTGAGCGATCGTAATTTCGCTAAATTCGTAATTTGACCGCGAGCTTATCTACGCTTATGGACGACGCACAAGAGATAAGCACTGTCAAGGTATCGTCTGGCGTGGATATCACTCGCGTATCTAGTTCACGATTTCGAGATGAATTGCGAGAATCGCGTAAAAAAATCGATGGAATGTTCACATACAATAAAAATATTTCCCTCAACGCAAAAATTCTCTTATCGTTTCATCAACAACAGATTGTTGTCCTCGCAAAAAAAAAAAAGACGGGAGCCTTGAAAGGAATTAATCTTGTCGCGAGCGAGTAATGGAATGGAATCGATGAGCATGTGCGTTTGCCTCGTCTCATAATCCACGAGAAAGAAAGCGAAATAAAATGGATAAAAAAAAAAAGAAAGGGATTTATCTATGTTCCCCTCTCGTAAACCACTTACTCGATATATCCTAAAATATTCATATTTGCGTAAAAAAATTCCGATATAGATGCGCGAGGCGGATACAATTGAAATTCCGTTGCACTCAGCGTTTCGCTGATGGTCGATATTTGTTTCGAGAGGGTGTAACGTACGCACAATGCTAGGAAGCAACTCGACGGACAAATAATGATCGACGATTTATTTAACGTTCGAAGAAACTGTATAGATTGAATCGCGAAGATATCAAAAAACGTGATTCGACGAATCACGTTTGATTATCACCACGATTATCATCAGCGTACACAAAGTATTTCTGAAATAGGTCGACAAACTTTAAATATTTATTTCACGCATTGCGTTCGAATTTTTGCGAGTCGAAAAAAATCTTATCCAGCAGTTTCTTTAACGAAGCGTGTTTTTACACAAGCGTTTCCGACTCCATATAATTCCTTTTTGTCTACCTATTTCATAAACATCTCGCTCGGATACAATGATAGGGATGTTTATGAAATATATATAAACGACTAAGAAAACCGTAGGATAAAAATGAGACGCACTTTACGACTTGGAGCTGAAATGCGTCGACTTTCTCCGCGCCTCTCGTCGCATATCGTGTACCTTTCGCGAAGCTGCTGTGGGTATCAAGGCCGTGACTATCGTCACCTGTTTATGCGCTACATAATTGCGGCCACGGAACGAAGTAAAATCAAAAAGCGACGAGTATATTACGTCGTAGATACATTTACACGTTGTCGTGTTATTCGTGGCGCGGAGCGAAACTCGAGCACATGATCGTCACGTAACAACACGCGACCGCGTGCGTTACAACGTCACACGGCGTGTCGCAAGCATGACAACCGCCACGACATTCGTTTCACCGCGAGCGATTATTCGCGAACGCGCTTCATTAATTAATTAACTCGAGACCAAGCTTACACGTGAATCTCTAATATTTCCGTCCAATGACTTTTAAGTCGTACGAACCTGTTCGCTCTCTTCGTGATTACTTCAATTAACAGCTCTATTTTAATAACTGTATGTCGTTATAGTTTTGGCATAAATTTCGAGACATTACAAGGTTTATGTTAAATCGAAGCGTTTGCAACGCGAGAAGATATTCTTTAGGAAGGAGGAGGAAGGATATCACTCGCGGTCAATTTTCCGCGCAATCCATCCGTGAGCGATCGTAATTTCGCTAAATTCGTAATTTGACCGCGAGCTTATCTACGCTTATGGACGACGCACAAGAGATAAGCACTGTCAAGGTATCGTCTGGCGTGGATATCACTCGCGTATCTAGTTCACGATTTCGAGATGAATTGCGAGAATCGCGTTAAAAAATCGATGGAATGTTCACATACAATAAAAATATTTCCCTCAACGCAAAAATTCTCTTATCGTTTCATCAACAAAGACTGACAATCGTTGATTATCGCATGCTTTAAGCGAGATTACATTTATTATTCGTTGACCTCGCATCATTTCCTTTGCGACGTCATCCAAGAAAAAAAAAAAAACGCGAGATTACGCAATGCTTCATCACGCAAGCACGCAAAATATGCCACGCGTGCGTGCGTATGTGTGTGCGTGCGCATAAATCATCATCGCTCGTCACGGCTCGCGATCAACGCCCACGCGCGTGTTTCAAGTTCGTCCCGCGAGAAGTAAGCCGCGGAAGGCCAAAACTTTTCCGAAACAATTGCGTACGCGGCTCCGGAATTCTCGAGAATTCTCACATATTTACGGATACTCACGTGTTCGTTTCTCTCGCGCTGCTCCTGGTGATCGACGTCACGCTCTGCGATTTATCCACCACACTGCGATGGTCCTCGAGAACGAAATTTCTTCCTCTTTCACTCAAACACTCGCGCGCGACGATAGAAAGGAGGGTAGGAAGTAACAGATCAATCTGGGGCGGGGTAAAGTAAGTACTTCACTCGAGACAAGATTCCACAAAATTGCACGATGTACGTATATATATAAAAGTAAAAAAAGAAAAGAGTATGTGTACGCTGATACACGCGAGAATGGGGTAGAAACGGTGGCGGACTGCTCCCTTTTTTTCTCTCTCTCCTATCGCTCCCTCGATTAACTGCTCTTCGACCTTCGCGAGGCGGTTGTTGCGCGACTGAGATTGTGTCGGGCTCCGAGCGAAGCACTGAAAAGAACTCCTCGCGCGCACGCGTACGTACACACCGTCCTCCCGTCCCGTGTACCTGTGTGTAACAGCGAGATCCGTATAGGTAGTTCGTATCCGTGTATGAGAGGGGGAGAGAGAGAGAGAACGCGTTTTATCGTCCCCTTCCTGCAATCCGTAACCACGTTTCGATGCGTACAAAACAACGCTCGCGAGTGCCGCTGCGAGACTGGAACGCGAGGTAACATGTGCGGGCTCTTACATAGAGCGCCGAGTGGTGGGGATGGACGAGGAGTGGGGAGAGTTGACGGCAAAGCGAAGCGCGGTGGTGGGAGACGATCTCCTCTTCCCCTCCTATTTCCCGCGAGAGGAGAGAACTCGGCGGTGAGCTGGCAAGGACGCGGTGCCTCTGACGACGACGTGTCGATCGCTCGCTCTCTTTCGGCGCACTCGGCTCGTCGCCACTTCAGCGTGTTCCTCGCGCGCACGCTCCCGCTCCCTCTCTTTCTCTCACACATTCTCTCTTTTATTATTATTATCTCTAGCTGATTATATTTTGATCCGCTAGTCGTATATTTCTGGATCGCGCTTCTCAAGCGAATTTTCTCGGAATGAAATTAATTTATCTCTGCCCGTCTCCTCCCTCTTTCTTTTTCGTGTTTTGTTTCGTTCCTTTTGTTTTCTTTTATACTTTTGCGCGTATATATTCAGCTTTCAATCCGCCTTGTTTTCTTTTTATTTAATGTAATGCTATTCGATTCTTTTTATGATTCTCGTATACTTCATCCCGGAGAATTTTATTTTGGAGGATTTTATTTCAGAGCATTAAAAACGCATTGCGCTATTTATTTTTCTCTCTTTCTGAGAATTACTTTATTAATTTAAAATATAATAAAACATATGGGATAAAAAGTAAATATATTGTATATATATACAAGTGCATTTAAACGAAAATATACATATAATTAAAGTTCGAAAAGAATTCTAAATTTAATTTTCCTCTCTCACATGAAAGGATTTCTAAAGCTTGGCATATCATGAGTATTTTCATACATCAGAAGCGTATAAAGAAATAAGAAGTAAATATAAATTTGTTTCGAGGTATATAAAGACAATACAGTATCGCAAAAGTTTTCGATTCGTAGTTCGCAAATGTAGGACAACGCGAATTCTGCGAGCGGCTTACGTTGTAAAATAAACGGGGTAAACAACATCTCGAGTCGGGTTCTTTAATTTCTATTTTCCGCTTTTATAAGCTGCTTTAAAGCTTTGTAAATACGCGCGCGCGACACATTCGGCGAACAAGTAACGCGTGACGCACGCGAGGAGGAAAATTACCGGGCGTGCAGGAAGATGGGTATCGGAACTTCCGCGATGAACTAAGACAAGAGGTGGTGGCGTGCGTCTTGCATTGTACCTGTCTGCGGCGGCGTAACCGCGAGACGAGAGAGAAATGAATTCCTTTTTGCGGCAGGAGGAGGTAGAGAGAGAGAGAGAGAGAGAAAGGGAGAGGAGAAGTTTTGTTTGCCTGCGATAATGAGAAGACTCGCGGCACCGCCGACGACGTCGTTCCTCGCTTGCTCGTTGCGGAAGCAATTGTACAATCGTTCCGCCACCTTTGTGCCCGCGCACACGAGCATTAATTCGCGTCGTTCGTGCGCACGAATTTACCGCGGATGTCCCGCCTTTTGTTCGCCTCCATCAGGAACAATGATACTTCGCGAAAGCGACACTCTTCGGATTTACATCGTCGCGCGATATCGTTCGTGAGCCGTCATCAGATCAGACGATTCGTTCGACGCGATAAAAATTCGATGTCTTTCTCCCTCTCGAGACGGAGAGTCACTCTCTCTCTCTCTCTCTCTCGCTCTTTCTCTGTCAACACGAGAGACATCCACCGCGTGCACGCTTCTGGTAGTTTCGCTACCAACCCGAGATTGCATGCACCAGGCAGGGTACAGAGTTCAGACGAGTGGAAAGTTCAGAGGAAGCAAACGGTAGTGTGTCTTCCCGAGACTAATTTTACACGCGTTTTCGTCGACGTCGTCGCTTCGCAGAGTAAGAAATTATTAATTAACACGCGAATTAACACGAATGTCGCGTTTCAAAAGCGGGAGAACCGTTAGTAAAATTATTCCAACGCTCCAGATGTATACGCGAGTGCATGTATCGCGCGGTTAAGCTGCGAGGTTTAATCAATACCTCGTAATTTACTCGACAAAATTAATTCGGCGGTGTCGTGGAGGGGAAGGGAATACCGCGACACCCCGACAAATTGAGGTATTTTACCAATTACGAACGATATACATTGACAGTCCTCAGACGTTCGTCAGTTGCAACTATCTCGAGCGCATAACAAGATGTGTGTGGAACGCATATATACAGTCGCACAGTCGGCGGTGTTTCTCTTCCCCCTTTTCGGCCCGAAATCACCGAGTAATTTCGTCGTCGTGAACGTTATTGCACTTGCAACGCACGTCTGCGAATTTTCACCGCGCAATTTAAAGGATTAAAGGTGCCGACATGCGCGCGCCAAATGAAGGACTTCGCGCTGTCCATCATCAGGAAGAGGAGCTATATATCGTGTTTAACGGCTTCCTCCCCTCCCCCCCCCCCCCCCCCACAAAAAACCCCTATTTTTT